TTTAAATCAAGCACTGAACACCAGGCCCCATAGATTCCTGTCGAAAGGCCATAAATAAAAACCAACAACCAGAACCTCTTCTTTCTTAACAATGACTTGAAACCAATAGTGAAGTCAAGACGTCCTATAGCTGCCGTAATGCTTGGTGGTGAACGTGGCTTGTCAGGAAAATATATGAGCACGCAAAGAAACACAAAAGCTGTAACTCCAAATTCAAGGTACATAAAGTTCATGATTTGATGCTTGTATTCAGCTATCTGTGAGGCATTTAGTGACTTTCTAAGTTTATTGTAGTCTATTTTTTCTGAAGTCCCATTGGTAAGCTTCCCGACATCATCTACAAGCAAAGGCCCAATGAGAAATGATAAAGCAGTTCCACTGTAGCATGCTAATGATGAAATTGCAGTTGCTGTTGTGCGCTGTGATGGCGGGAACCATGCTGCTGATACGAGAGGAGGTGCTGCCATGGCAACTGGCCCACCTATTCCAGTAACAAACTGCCCAATGTGAATTAGTAGGGTCTGGGATTTGTTATCCAATGAGAAGCATCTTAGCGCAGTGCCAATCAACTCTAAGAAGGCAGCTAGGAGCACAGACACTCTTAGACCTAGAATTAGAATAGGATAAAAGTTGTGATGGGTGGTTTGCATTTTAATGCAAAATTAAAATTAAAATACATGAGATTCACTTTATCATATTACACTTTATTGTGTCTCTACAAATTACAAACAAACAAACAAATAAATAAAATAATAAAAAAATAAAAATGATGGATAAAATGATGTTTCAGGTGTGTCTTTTGTCAGAGGAAATTGTTCTTTTTACTGTAGATTTTTACAAGCAGTGCCCAAAAGGTGAGAAAGCCATCTTTTAAAAACATCACTGATATTTCAAATTGTCAAACATATACTTCACCACATAAATTATTTTACACCATAAAAACACTATAAGTCAGAGTAAAGCACTTATGAAACAAAATTTGATTATTAAAATGTGATAATCTAATTCTTTGTGTGTAACCATGTGACCAACAGTCCCCTGAGAAATAAAGAACAAAGCTATCGCCGCGCCATGTTGGATGAATGCATGAACAAGAGAAACTAATGAGGAATGCTTTTCAATTGTGATTTTCATCCAAACATGGCTGCAATGACATAACTTGCATGCCACAAATAGACACATAACAATAAAAAAAATAATGCAATTAGAGCGTACTAAGGTGTATTAGTGTAATATATATTTCACGGGTTCTTTTGACTTCACTCTACTCTTCAAGCTGAACAATGGAAAAAAACAAAATTAAAGTATAATTAAGAAGCACTTAGTGACACCTTTTTTTAGTGACCATCTTATTAACTAGATAGGGGTCAGTGGTTCTATGAAAATTAGCACAAAAATAGAGAGCAGACCCTAGTCTTTGTAGTCTTTTCATGTTTATATTTTTGTCTGCACGATGTAAACAGCAGGTGTACCGACCTGCATTGCAGGCATCATAACGAAAACAAAACACTCGTCTCTGAAATTTCCTGCATTCATTGAGAAAACAAACCTTTAACATCCATCAACCAGGATAATGGTAAAACAGCAACTACATACGACACAGAACCCCAGTCAACTAATAAATCTATGTCGGTATTGCTCCATTGGAATACGACTTTCGATGTTCCTTGTATTGGAGTCCAACATGTCCAAATTATATTATTTAACGAAGCAACGGAAGAGAAAATCAATAAAATATACCATCGACGCTTGTATACTTTAGACTGCTCTTGTAGTGCAGAGCCTTTAGGTGACTGATGAGGAAGAGTTTTAGAGTTTGAAAGAGAAGAACTTTCACTGTTCGAGGACGAATTGTGCTTCATGCTGTTTTCGTGGCTCACAAGACAGTCACAATTTCAGCCAAAATTATTCTTAATTTTTGATTAAAATTGCACCGAAATATACTAGACKTTTTTCTGTACGTCCTTATGGAAATGTCAAACACAAATTGATATATTATTGTTGTTTCTAAAGTATATGATCGAAGATCATTCCGTCGTCATTTTGTGTTGATATGGATAACGTGACTAGCGCGTGACCCAAATTCGACACCGGAAGTGATCAGGTTTACCACAGGCATCCCAACAACAAAAAAATAAGAATTTTCAAAAAAAAAAAAAATTATTTCAAAAGTAAACATATGAATACTAAAATATGGATTGTCTGTAAATATTAACAAAAAGGTGATAATAAATAGGCAATGTGCAGTGAAACCATTTTGCACAACAAAGCATGATTCTTGGTCTATCCCTAAAAATTCTCCCTAAAAGCTGGGGTTTTTTTTGAAACTCCAATTAGGAGGACTACTATGATCCTCAATTCCATAGTCTGTTGTTATGAGAGCAACTTATTCATTCAGTCTTGAAAGCAGGAAGAAAACTACAGTGTGATCATACAAAAAGCAGAGTATTAGGAGACAACAATAAACAGGAAATCTAGCATGTGCGAAGGACATGAGAATGCAGTCAAAGGAAAAAAAGTTTGACTTGTACTTGAGTTAATACGGTCACCAGAAAAGAAGAGGCAGACAGAAATAGA